TTGGTCAATGGATGTTGTTTTTAAATGTGCCTATAAATGAATGTGACTTGACTGACCTGAGATCGGCTCCAGTCCAGCATTTATTTCATTTAGCATAGATAAACATTTCATCTAACTGTCTTACTCAACTGAAGCCAAAAGGGCAGTTTTCTAAATGTATTTTTTTCTGCTGCAAGTTCAAAACAAAAGAGGTGCCAATGCATGACGTGAGTTAATGAGACATGAATGAGTCGCAGCTGACGTGTCTCAAATCAATATTGCACAATGTGGCACAGAACGCAATCAAGATTTGATTAAATGCCTTTTGTGCAGTCCGACATGTACTGAACCTGCAGGATTGTACAGTATTGATCATAGGGGTCTTTAAAAGAGCGAACAGCACAGAACCATAAAAGCTGATTTACTTGTGAATGTCTTGTGATTATTGACATTCAAGGAATTTCCCTTTCAGTAATGTTATCCTGAAATATACATATGAAATCTTCATTTGATAAAAGATAGAAATTATGGACAAATAGTTTCACTTTTAAATAGTGCTGTGCATGTCAAAGACACTTTGTCAGGCATTCAATCATGTCTGAAATTGGCCACTGGAGTAGATAGACTTGATGTTGCTGGAGTAAAAACAAAAACCCAAATAGCATACTTCTTAGTTTTGACATGGGTCCTTTGACTTGGCTCTTTTCAGAAACCACATTTAATTACATTTCTACTTGAAAAAGAGGAGTCCAGCACTTTATTAGTGGCTTCTGGTTCATCATCAGAAAGTAGTGTATTTCACATCATTCATTGCAACTCATACTAGAATCAAATGTGAAAAGGAAAACTTGGTGACATCTGAAAAGCTTTGGCTTTCTCTGGATCTGGACAGATGACAGGAGATTTGTGGCTTGTTCGACACTAGAAACAGGCCCAGCCAGACTTTAATCCATGATATTGTCTAGTAAATCTGCTGGAAGCTGTTTGGCTGATAATGAATCAACTCTCTGGGCGCTTATAGGATCCAGTGCAATTTTTCTGGCTATTAAGATTTATTTCCTGTTTCAAAATACTTTAGATAGAAAGCTCAAAAAATGTTTTGCCTTCAAAAAATCTTTTAATCCATTTGACCTGACGAAGTTGCTTTATCACCTCTCCAACCCATAAATGATAGTTGAAACAGTGAAGTGAGGCAGGTGAACAGAGGTCACTGGGAACCCATTCTGTGATACCCAGAGTCTCTTGAGATGAGGGTGTCAAGGTCCGAGCATATAGGGAATATATTACATGAATAGTATAGAAACAAGAGACACTCCTGGATAATGTGTAACAACCCTATAGGTTTATGTTATGTCCCATAGTTTTATTTTATCTTCTGAGGAATCCTGTTCCATCTGATACGATGGATGACTGTAAACATGACAATACTCATGGGCCTTGGCCACAAATGCTTCTACTTGCAATTTACTCTGTTTGTCCTTGTTTTACGTGGTTTTTTTATATTGCACTAAAGAAACACACTTTTGTCTTCCTGTATACTGAACGTTGTATATAGAGAGAATGGCAATAACTTCTACCTTGTGCCTCCATGGGCAGATCCAGAGGGTGGCCAGGAGTAGCACTGCACACCCCCAGAATCTGATTGGCCAACCTATCTGAAATTTTCTAGATCTGCCCCTGTATAACTCAAAAAACGTTTAGTCAGATGCACAAAGTCAGAGTGGAGTCAGATTCAAAACACTGAGAAGAAACAATGCCATGGTTGTTGAATTCATCCAGAAATGACCCAGAATCCAAAAGTGAGTGGATTTAAGCTGCAGATTGTAAAATGTGTTTTCTCAACAGCATAATCTTCTGCCTGCATGTAACAGAACTTTAGGCTTTGTGTTTGCTTGTTTCTTGGTGAGATGCACTCCCAAGTATTTATGTACATGGAATTATCAAAAAAGACACTTTTTTTTTTTATCACGGCATTTAAATCTTTTGTACTAATCATTCAGTCATGAGATTTTTGTGCTGCCTCAAATCAAAGATCAACTCCAACCGTGAATCACCTTTTCAAGAAAAATTCCTGGGAATTTTACTTCCAGAACCATGGGAGCCCAGAATAGCTCCTTACACCTTGCAAGTCTGTTGACTTCACATTTTGTGACATGTATACCGTTAACATTATGGTCTCCTAAAAGCTCTGGACTCTGCATATGAATTGCAGATGCAGTTTCTTTGGAAAACAGCTGCTATGCTTCCACCTCACAGCCACACCATTGTTTTTTTAGAGCAGACTTCGCCAATTTAACTCATCAAGTTCAGTTTACTGGTCAGGGAGAGTGCTACTTGGCTTGTGGAAACAGTTGTGTAATGTCTTTTTGAGGGCTTTGGAGTAGGTTTTCTGAAATCTGAGAAAAGGTGTCAGAGTTGTCATCATGGATTGCAAACAGAATGTTACAAACTAGGGATGTGGACTTTGAAAGACATTGACATTTGCCAGGCAGGGACAAATTAAAGGGGATGATGAAAGAGTTGCATTATGGGAAATGAATGATCCTGTGTGTGTGTGTGTGTGTGTGTGTGTGTGTGTGTGTGTGTGTGTGTGTGTGTGTGTGTGCTCTTGACACATACTAACTAAAAGCCAGGATATCTCAGCCTATGCTCCTTCAATTATGACTACTGTGTTATTTGCCGTTTTATTTGCCTCTCACAAGTACCCACACTTAATAAAAGTATTTATTGTTAAAAGCGGTTCAACATCCAGGATGATGTTTGTGTGGGCTGGGAGGGAATTTAGCTGCTGGAACTAAATGTGCTGATACATTGCAGGTGGTGGTTTTGGTGCTTCTCATGTGTATTTGCTGGTGGGTGTGATTTATGTGTTGGAGTTGACATTTAACAGAGAGATTGGTAATAGCATTCATGCTGTTGGACACTTATTCTTTGAATGCCACATGTACTCAAAGTAGTTAAAACATTTGTTTAAATAATGATAATAATACATTTAATTTACAAATCTGTTCTAGTGCTGACAATCCTCCATCATCAGTTGCAGTGGTTTTGTGTTTCTGTTGTTGACTTTGATGCATTTACAGCAAACCACACGTTTTCATTACTCAGGTTTGAGTACTCTCACTAATTAATACAACTCATGTTGTGAGTGTCTATGTGTCCAGTAGTAGATGTTGCTATGCTGCAAAGGAATTTGGATATCATAAACAAAACTGATGGGATGAAAAGGGGGGTAAGATGGGTAAAACTGACTTCAGTTGTTAGTATAGGATGAGTATCTGTTATGTCGCCCACAGTAAATGAGTGAAGAACACATTAGCTGTTTTTTTTTTAAATAGAGACTACCGACTTTAACAGTTAGTTTTATTGATATTATCTAGAACAGTCTCAATATCATGCAAATATTTCTTTCACAGTAACAAAAACAACATTGATAATTGATGGTGTTCATGGCCTTGGTGCATGTGCACATTTAAAGTTCTGTACTGCAGAATTTGTGACATACTATGAAGTACTATTACATTCTCAATAAGGTCATTAAGCGTTTTGAATATATTTTTCAGACAGAATAGACAGAAAATACAAATTTGGAGTTTAGTAAGATGTTAGAACAGAAAGCACAGAAAAGAATAATATGAAATTAGGTTTTGGCTGTAATGCAATGCAAAATTATAAATGAATAGAATTTTCAGAGCAAGCGGTGGCTGGATTTTATTTGGTGTCAAAGCCTTTCTTGTGCTGCAGTTCTTTGTCTAAAGAGCAGCATACTGTATTTCTTTATTTTCATTTTTTTTACTTTTTGCTTTTATTTGACAGCACTAGAGACAGACAGGGAGGCAGACAGAGAGAGAAAAGAGGGAGACCTGTGAACACTGATCCGCAGCCATACTCAAACCACAGACTTCATACACACCTATGTGCATCCAAACATGTGCCCCCACCTGTCAAAACCACTCAGCTGTCCAGGGTAGCCATTTCTTAGGCTTTTGACTAAGACAGAAACAGTTACTGCTGTGTGAGAATGACACATATTGGATTAGAAATCAAAGGGTCACTGCTTGTGTTAAGATTAGTGCATTAAAATAACGAGAACCTATTTAAGGGTCACATAAAAAGTTTGCCTTGATCCCTGAAGGGTTTGCTGTTATGTGACAGAAGAATGCGCCTGTCTTCACAAACCTGAATTTTACTGTCTTGATGTTAAACATCTTTGAATTTAGACTGGAGTACCCAGAGACTGATGAATCAATCAGCCCTAGAGCCACGTGTACCTCTCCCTCTCCTGGCACTGTTACTCTTCACACTCTTGTTCATCCTGGATCACTAGTTACCCTGTTTTGGGGGAACTGCAAAAAAATTGTGTCAAGTGATCTTGGCTGTCACAGTTCTGTTCTAGAAGCTATTTACATTCTTAATAACAATGTAGCAAAAGTGATAATTTGCTTTGGAAACACACTTTCTCAGAATTATGAGGATGAGGCACCAAAGCTGATTAGGTAGAATTACTGAAATCTCAGGGCTTTCTCTCATTCTTAGGTGCAGCTGTTATCATTCAGTGAACATTGAGCAGAATTAGAAAACAATGAAATGATGTAATCAGTGGAAATCAGATGAAAGGAAATATTCTTTTCTTGAAAAGATACGGTTGATGAAGAATCAAAGTGCACAAATCTGAGTCACCGGTATATTTATAAGTCAAATTTGCCTGTTCATTCTGCTCCATATTAAATGACCTGATCATTGGTGCCTTAATAGACTGTGCTGGTTACATTGTACAATCACATTTCATACTCAGATAACACATCATGAAATAATATTAATTTTAATGCGAGACAAAGCAGGCCTCTAATTTTCAGAGCATGGTTTGTTTGTTTTTTTAAATGCAGCACGTTTTCTGTATTTGTTCTCTTATCCATGCAAAAACAAAAGCTATTTTTGTTACAGTATCACTACACACATACAGTGTATCTTTGTCATTTGATTGTGTTTTGTGACAATCAGCCTGTGATGTTTACCCACAGGATAATGCACTGGGCCAGGCGTATCGAGCAGGAGATTGACAGAGTCTTTCAGCAAATAACTGGAGCTCAGCAGTTGAAAGGGGTGAGTGTGTAGCTCTCTTTTCATAGTAAACAACTCTTACTCATCATAATGTTGCATAAACACACTAAGAAATGCACCGAGCAGAGAGGTCAGTGTGCGAATAGCTGTAAATCCATTAAGTTTAAGAGCTAAAGCTACAAAGGTGTATAAAATAAGAAAACAATTACAGTCTTTCTGGAACTCCTTGTAGAGCAATGAGCAGCCAGTAAGACAATGTTTCTGTTTCCTCAGGACAGACATAACATTTTCTCATAGCTTTTACTGTATATTCAGCAGTTTTCATAATCTTTTTTTAAATGTCATATCCAAATTTTGCTGGCACTTTGTGTGCGGTTTGCAGTAATGATCAATCATGCACACACTGTACAGTTCCATCGAAGTGAAAGCGATGCCTGAAAACACGCCTACACCGGTTAAATTTAGAATATGTAGTATTATGTTGCATGGAGCCATGAGCTTTAAAACACCTACATTCATGAATACTAATTCAGGCCTCCTTTCATAAGACGATCGCATAATGCCTGTGTTTTGTTTCAGTAGGGGAACAGTTTACATTCATGAAATGTTGCACTTTGTTTTCATGTACATATCTAGAACGTATCTTTCATCAAGCTCTCAACCAGAAGTGATCAACAATCCCCTCTGGAGCATATTTACATTACACGCATCTGATTTATGCAGTAACTGTCTGCAGTAACCTGATTTTTATGATGTCATATCCTGTAAATACAAAACCCGGTTTCCTCAGGAAGGTTAAATGTCTCCATTCCTGGATGTCAAACAGGACATTGTAGTTTCCTCAGTAAGGTTAAATGTTTTCATTCCTGGATGTCAAACAGGACATTGTTTCTAGAAAGAGCTGTTGTTGCTGACTTTTCTTGAACAATAAATCTGGTGATATATTTTTCTTACTGCTGCTTACTTTTCTTAGGACAAAACTAATTAAAAACCAACAGTATATATTAGTCAGTGTCTCCGTAGTCCCTGTCTTCACCATTCTGTCTGTAGTGAAATGTGGCAGGGTTTTTGTTTTTACTGTTTTATGACATTGTACAACTTATTAATCAAGAAAATAATTGGCAGAATAATTGAAACAAATCTTTAGTTGCAACCCTAAAATAATTAAATGTTTCCTCTTTTCTTTTGCAGTCATCTAGTTTCTTGCATGCATGTACAGTAAAATCCATAGTCACCCTTTACCTGTTTTGTGGGAGTAAGGGAGTTGTCTGAAAAAACATTGTCAAAAACTAGGTCCAAAGATCATCTGTAGGGGGCAAGAGAGCCCTGCTCTTTGAAGATGTGTGGGGGCGTTGCCTCAGCAGAGAGCGGCGGCACGTGTCCTCCCTGTTTGTGTCACAGCAGAGCAGATGGTCATCCTCCAGCCTGCAGTAATGCCTCGATGTGAGACTCACTTGCTCGTTCAGTCCTCTTTAATCTGGTCTATGCTCCTGAAATACTCTGGATCTGTTTGCTTGCTCAATGCAATCTTCTTTGTCAAGAAATGAAATGTCATTTTCATTTCCTCAACCAATAAAAGCCATGATTTTATATTTGCAGGTCATTTTGATGGTCTCTGTGATGCAGTTTAGCTCAACCTTGGAATTGTTATCCACTTAGACTAAAGTTTTTAGAGTGTTGTTTAGGGAAATCTGGAATACTAGAGAAAGTAGAAACCCCCCTAGGTGTCAGAACTACAAGACTGAGAGTCTCCAGCTATGCCAAGTGGTGCTTTAAGCTAAATGTTAACATCAGCATGCTAATCTGCTCACAGTGACAATGGTACCATGGTGTTATTAACAAATATACATATTATTGTCTTAGCTTAGTGTGTGAGTGTGATAACATTTGTTAAATAGCACTACTGATAATAGATAAGACATAAATGTGTGGACCAAATTTTGTGGCAAACCACCCAGCAGTTGTTAAAGCACTTCAGTCTGGACCAAAGTGGAGGACAGGCAGACGAACAGCCACGACCCTAGCATGGCTAATAAATACGCCCCTTTGAAATGTGTTATTTAGTGGAGTTTGTATGATGCACAAAGTAATTTTTATTATTTTTAAAGACTGCATTTGCAATTATTATTTATGTTTTAACACAGTACATTGTGTGGATCATCACTGGAGCATCTTGGCCCTGAATATATTTCGTACAGTTCACAGACACACCCGTACATTACTGCGTGTCCCTATCTGTGCAGCATGGGTCAATGCAGTATACAACTTGAGGGATGTCTTGAAGTTCATTTCATAAGTTCATTTGTGCAGGTCACTGTCTCCCTTCCTGTCTTGTGTTCATCTTCTCTCTGATGTCTTTGATTTATGGTTGAGAGTGGCCTAAAACCCACAAGATAGTGCACTTAGATACTGCAGGCATCTTGTTCCCTCGCATATCTGATAGTGATGAACCTCCTGAACTACCAGCCACCACAGTAATAATATGCAGAACAACTGAGGGCAATGTTTTTGTAGTCAGATATTACAGGCAGGACCAGGTGTAGCTCATAAGGGTGTTATTTAAGGCATTAAATATCTTCTTTTGTGCTCCTGTTTGTGAACAAACTTCCCAGTGTGTGGTATTCAAAGTAAAAATGCGTTTGAAACAAAGCTGAAGCAGAAATACATCTGTAGGCTAATTGAAATATTACAATATCCTGATGACCGCTAAAGTTTTCTGGTGTAGTTAATGAGGCCATATTTCAGGTCCTCAGATGTCAGCTAATGTTTTTCTATCTGTGGTCTAATTTAACTGAAGGCCATCTGGAGATGAGCATTTATCATCTGTAGCTCTTTACAGGAAGCTTTAGTCACAAGCCAGAATGAAATGGAAAGGAGTGGCTCATACAGTCAACTGTGGGTCAAATAGGTTCGTAGATGGACAAAAAATAAATATTCATTAAAAATTGGTTTAGACATTAGATTCAGTAATCATTAGTTGCAGCCCTAAAAGTGATCTCAGTAGTTTTTATTTTTATTGTGGTATAAAATAATCTTCAGTCTATGATAAAGTCTGCCGTGATCCTCAGAGACGTCCTGTTTCAGACACTTATTTTGAAGTTATTTCCTGTATGGTGCCGCCCTCACCAGCACCAGCTTTGCTCTTCACTGATTGGCTGTAATCACATACACCTGTTGCTCATTGTTGGTGCCTTGCCAGCCTTTTATATTCACCTCTCTTCCCTCTCTCCCTTGTCAGTTTATCCTGTCAGATTCCCTTGTTCACTTGGAGACTTGTCACTCACCTGTTTATTCATCCTTCTCTGTCAGTGTTCACCTGTTCTTCATTCTGGATGTGTCCTCAGTTTCCTTCTCATCTGGTTTATTTTTGCAGGAATGTTCTGGTTGGTTGCCTGCTCGTTTGTTCTCACCTGTTGCTTCTGTCGACCCCTGTACTGTTTGCCTTTCCCTAAATATTACAGTTTGTTCTAGCCCCCAAGTTCCTTTGTTAATCATTGGTCTTGTGGAGGCATTTATGTTTTGTTGGTTTATGACGTACTAGTTATTCTATGGCTTTATTCCCTTTTTTGCATCTTTGTTACTAGATGTCTCTGAGTTGGTTGGCTGTAATGTGTTAGTTTTAGGTTTCTGTATTTGTTGTTTTTGTTCCGTGCATTTTTATAGCCTACTCATTGAGCCTGTTACTTGAGTTGCTTCTGTTCTCTAACTATCTACCTGTGTACTGTTCTTTATTTATCGTTAAATCGCCATACACATTACCTCCTGTTAGATGTCTGCTCCTGGGTTCAGAGTTGCTATAACACAGTCAGCCTCTTGTATGATGCACAGACCACAGCTGTAACATGTAGGAGTCACACAGACTAATGTACAGTTCTTGGTTCCAAAATGCTCTGTTCATGAATTAATCATTCATTCAGCATCTTGTGTTAAAATTTTGACATAACCTGACATGGATGAGTCAGAATATTTTAATTTATGGCTAAATTAATATCTACCACACTGTATTTTTTTTTTATGATTATGTGAAAACAGAGACAACAGATATTGTGTGTTAATAAATGAAAGTAAAAGGAGCCATGTATAGGTTTGGCTTAAACATACAAAAGCAACAAATGAACTGTTCCTCTGTGTCCACAGTGTTTAAATATAAAAAGGATTTGCTGTTGCAAATTCATGAGCTTTGAACTGTAAAGCTCTCTGCTTTCAGAGTTGCTCCGAGACACCCAGAGTCCAATTTGCAGCATCCATTTTCTTTAATGTTTGTTTCTTTAGTTTTACAAAAGACAGAGTAGAAATTATTATTTTAAAATATCAAATAGCTCCACACTGACACTGCCCATAACACTAAACTGCATTAATGGTAACACAGATTTATACTAGGTCAGCTTGGACAGTTACAAATTGGCAGTAGAAAGAGATCAGGCCAGCGGACTTTCCAGGATGACTGTGTAGCTGCTGCTGCTTGTACGTTTTTAACATTGTCTATTAAAAATGTACAGATATACAATGAGGAAAGGCGACGGTTCAGTCTGGTGAAGAATCAGCCTCGGAAGATTGTGGATAAGGTGTCTTCAGATATAGAGAAACTCTTGGCTAAGAAGCGCAAAGCCCTCGACGTAAGTCTGTTTCTGACAAATATGAAACACTTTATTGAAACTCCTGACTGTACAGCTTCATGTGCTGCTTATTTCCTCTCTTGTTTTTAACTGCAAATGAAGAACTCTCCCTCAGAACTACACTGTGCTCTTTAGAGTACAGTAGCTTCTTGCTAGTTTGATGTTTTAAAGTCTGAATTTAAAATAATTCCATGTAGGAATCGCATTTATGCATTTTATGTTCTATTAGTTCATTACTATGTAAATGTTAGTGCTGTGGGAGATCCATCAGGTGAAAATAAGGATTTCTTTGGGAACGCCGCTGAAAAATTAACATTTTCTTGCAACACTTATATTAAAGTTTAGTGAAACCAAGCCTCAGAGTTTAATTTACTTACTTACAGTTATTCATACTACCTTTCGTTGTTGTGTGATTCCATATAATGTCTTAGCTGCAGATAATTTTTCAAATGACAGAAAATTATTTCATTCTTTCAGAGGGTTGCTAAGTAATGGCTGTTGGTAAGATTAGTGGAGTTATACAGTGATGGTGGTTGGATGAGTGAGTGGGCCTGGCTGATGAAATATTCAGTACAGATGTAAGGGCGAGTCACACTGCCAAGTATCTATGCTTTGCTTGTGTGAGGATAGGATTCAAGGTTTTAAAGGTGCATTAGCTCAGAGAGTGGTAATCTTCTAACTGCTAGTAAGACTAAGATACACTAAGTAGAGAACCTGCTAGACTACACGGGACCGTGGCACTCATTTGGAAGCGCCTATCAAGCCAGGGGGCTGGCCACAGCAGCTTAGCCTGAGCAGATACAGTGTAGATATGTAAGACTGTGTCAATTCACTGTGTATTTACTCTTTGCCTGAGGCAGGAGGTAAAAGCAGATTTAAAGTATATTAGGTCAGTTTAAAGGCCCTGTAAGTTAGTGCTTGAGAACTGTGTTGCCTGTCCTGGAGCCAGCAGATTTATAGCAGCACAGTGTGATCCCCACTGTGGGCGTCAGTGATAAATCAGAACACCATTTAACATGAATTCCATAGGGATGCTCACTCAACTTTGGCCACATTTAACTGTGTATCGACAGCTTTTCTGATACTGTCTGAGGAGGTCTTGTATGGCTGAAAGTGGAGGGCTACATTATTCATAAATGCCAGAAACTCATGTTTCACAGTGTTCTTCCCCTTGATTGTAGAGACAAGACGTGTTATTAAACTTGCTCCTCTAATGTCAGCATTTCTCTGTTTTCAACATGCAGAGGTTAGCCAGCGAAGCAGAGCGACTCCAGCGGGAGCATCTGTGGCAGGATGGAATCAAGGTAAAACCCTGGACATTAGATTTACAAGTAAAATGGTGCATCTGCTGAGAGCCAGTGATATACATCACAGTCCTTTATCTGATCACAGTTATTGACACCTATTTATATTGCTGTGTTGATGTAAACTATGCAAACCCCGAAACCCTCCACTTGTCTTGATTTTATTAATTATAAACCTGGTACCTGTCTGTTGCCATATTTTACTTATTGACTGCTCCTGTCTTTGCCACTATTTTAAACATGTCTTGTTGTCTTCAGTGGATTTGAACTTAAGGTGACCTAGCGTGTCTGTTTTAGTGCAGCAGTCAGTGAAAAAGGTTTTTATGAAAAGACGGTTTGTTTCCAGTTGTAATTTTATTTGCATTATTGTTTTAAAATCACAGTCTTGGGGTCCTGTCAGAAATGCACACCATGTTTCTTCCCCCAGTAATGTGGGAGCTACACTTTCTTTTTAAGTAGCAGCAGTACTATAGTCATTCATATTTTTTGTAGGCATTCTATTTTTATTAAGGATTTAGTTCATGTCATGTCTGTATATTTCCTTCCTAGCTTACATTTGGACTCTATTGATGGTCAAAAAGAATAAAGTTTTCAAATTTTACAAATTCAGATGTAACCACAGATGTAAACTAAAACCATACGGGTACACCTCTGGGCACTGTGACTCTAAATGCAATGACCTATGAAAGAAAGGACATTTACACCAGCCAGCTGAGCCAATCCCCGAGCGCTCAGCTGGGTGTGAAAGATGGCCGAGCGCACTCAGCCGTGCACTTCTGTTGAGTCCTGCACACACTGGCATTCCACTTTTCCACTCGGTCTGCTTCATTTGCCTAACAAAATGAGACACGGTTAATCTCATCTAATTACAGCCTTTCCTGAGGTTCTGAATCGTCCTGCCATTTTAAAATACCACACTGGTAGTTTAACATGTTTTAGCCCATTCACTGAAAACTGTGTAGACAACAACACTGTCAGGCACTTTCTGAAGGATGCCATAAGCTTTTAGACCAATTTCCTCTCTTTCACTGAGCTGCTGTTTTCCATACCTTTCTATACGATATGAAAAATAACCTTACATTTTAAGGAATTTGGCTCTTTCAAACAGCGATCAGTTCCATTTTACATACTTCATATGTAAACTGGTTGGCAGAGGCAAGGCGGTAATTCTCATTTATCCTATGGTAGAGGTGAAATATTTGGCAGAAGTGTGAAGCACTGCAGCCAGGCCCTGATCTAAAGGAGGAGAACTCAGAGCAGGATAAGAAATGTCACTCCTTTGGTCTGACCGATAAAGATCACGGGTTGATAATGTCAGAGCTGTTCTCTACTGAAAACAGGAGCAAGATGATAACAGGAGAGAGAGCTAAACTGTAATATACACTCACCAGCCACTTAATTAGGTACACCTGTACAACTGTATGCAATTCAATGCAACACTTCCGCCTTAACATCTGTGTTTATGAAGCTCAAAATGTTTCAGTTTTTGGTGAAATTGTCATAAATGTTTATTATTGAGGTCATACTTAAGGTTGGTGTTGTACTGGACTACATTATATTTAGTGGTGTCTATATTTGTCCTCCCCAGAAGGGTCAGAATATTAGGAACGCCTCTGAATGTAATGTAGCTCTCTACAACACCACCTTTAACAGTGACCTAAATAATAAACATATAATTGAATTTATACTTTTATGACAGTTTCACCAAAACAATTTGAGCTTCATAAACACAGATGTTAAGGCGGACGTGTTGCATTGAATTGCATACAATTGTACAGGTGTACCTAATAAAGTGGCTGGTGAGTGTACATTAAGGTGCTCTTTGGAGGAAAGATATGGTAATGAGCAGAGGACATAGATACTGTAGGAGCATTTCAGCCTCCTAGTAGATGTAACACTTGTTCTGAAGTATTTTGGATCTCTACAAAAACTAAGACTAACAGATGGTGACACTTGTAGGATATGGTTCTTCTTACCATTGCTAACTCTGAGAGACGAGGCAGTCCAAGTAACTACAAAACAGTGCTGATTTATTCAAAGGATCACAGGTAAAATTAACATTCCACGCTCAGGCATCTTGCCCCTCCAAACTGCACGCAGGCAGATGTAAGATGAAAGACCCTGAGCCCACCAGGCCTATACATTATATCACCTCGGTTGGGCTAGCCCCATACTACACAGAAACGTCAACTGGGCCTTCTCTGTTACCAGCTTTGCAGCTGGCCATAGCAGTAGTCAAGACATGAAGCAAATCAATGTGTGTGTGTGTCTGTTGATTAAGTGGTGTGTAACTAAAAACATTCTCACGACCTCTAGTAACATGTCGTGACTTAAACATAAGAACATATTATGGCTAAGGCTACAGTTATACACGTCATAATAATAATATTAAACACCCTGTCTGCTGACAGTCATCAACTCTTCTTTCTAGTATCCTTGACCAGATGTACCCTGTAGAAACTCATAATCATGCCTAAGCATTTAACTAACTAGACATCCTATCTCCACTAAACATTTCTAATACATAAAGTATCTATCTGGCTAAAAATACCTAACACACTCTACCGAGGCCATACAGCCTGTCTGCTGAGTCATAATGTGACAGTACTGAGCTGAAAACAATAGCAAACATTTGGTGGCTACAGCTTTGCAAATGGGAGGATTTGCTACTTTTCTCCAATTTATATCACTGTGTTTTCAGTTCCTGCCGCAATGGTACACAGTATGCCGGACATTATGTCACCGTTCTGGCATTTGTGACTCTGTTAGAAACTTCACACAGTACTACAGTTAACACCACAAGTACTGCTTAAGGAGTAGATGGTCTGATGTTGGAGTACCTTGCTGAATAAGTATGTATATTAAGAAGGTAAAGCAGATATTTTTTTTAGTTTTTTGGTAGCATTGGTGATGACAAAGTAATAGTATTATGAGCACATGGGTTCTTTTGCCTCTTGTTTGGCTGTCATTTAGACAACAAGTCGTCATTTAAGTGAGGTTTGGGCATGAACCCATTGGTGTAAAGCAAAGACATGGCTCTTGTGAGAAAATGAGCTATGGTGCCTGGTTTTAACATCCATGATTGAAGCTAATAAAGAACTTAGAGTCATAAATGAAAGAAGTTTTAAATATGCAATTTTGGAAATTGTTGTGGGTAATTAAAAATTATTATAATTAATCAAAATCATCTTTAGTCACAAACTTGATTTGGTTCCCTCCATGTGTCTAGAAGGTGAATCAATCCACATACAAATGATTATCAGTCCTCATATTGTTTAAATCTTGTCAAAACTGCATCTGTTTTCGTCCAGGAGCTGGACATGGCTTATTATGACTCCAAGGCTGAGCTGGATTATGTGAGTACAGGACCAATGTGCTGTAAATAAAAAGTGTACTTTTGAAATCTATTTTTAAAAGGTGATTTAAGTCACTGAAATACTTGGCAAATGCTTTCTCTTGATCTCATAGTACTCAATGGATGGAGATGGAGAGGTGGAAAATCCTTCTCATATCAAGCTGGAGTTTGTTTATGATCCCAATTTCAAAAACAACGTCAACTATTCCTACACAGCTGTGCAGATTCCCACGGATATTTATAAAGGAGGCAAGCGATGCGCTTATGTTTCAATCTTCGTACACTTTTCCACTGCAGCTCGTTATGATAAGAAATGGTGCTGATTTAAATTCATATGACCTAAGGAGCGTGTCTGTCATGTCTCACTCTTCTCCCATCAGCTCCAGTCATTCTGAATGAACTGAACTGGACACAGGCGCTGGAAAAAGTGTTCATGGAGAACAGCCGAGAGGATCCGTCACTGCTGTGGCAAGCGTTCGGGAGTGCGACCGGAGTTACTCGCTACTATCCAGGTTGGTTTTAACAAGGTTTACTGTGCTTCCTAACCTGATGAAGGTATTTTGTGTTTCATTGTAATTTGATTGAACTAAGCCTATTTTAAATTTACAAAAACAGTGAGAGAGAGAAATATTTTCTTTTTACTTACTAGCTACACCTTGGAAAGCACCTGATAAAATTGACCTGTATGACGTCAGGAGGAGGCCATGGTATGGTCTGCTGCTTATTAAATTTTTTTCCTGATGAGTTATCATATGTGGCGAAGGTTTAGAGGGTTGAAATGTTGTGTTCCTCTTTTTCATTTGCCACAGGTACATCCAGGGTGCCTCATCCCCTAAAGATATGGTCATTCTTGTTGATGTGTAAGTATCAAGTTTGGTTGGGAATTCTCTTGGGTTTAGTAATTAGCTTATATTTGACTGTAACAAAAATATAGTGGCAAAAAGTATAAATGTGAAGCTTATGGCTTCCTGTGTCCAAGTAAACCAAAAAATATACCAAGCTTTTATTTTCCTTGCAGTTGTAAACAGTTAACTGCTGTTTAAAACCTTCTCTGAGGTTTTTCTCAACCTTCTCAGCACTTCTTTCTCACTCACAGGTGAACAGACCATTTATGGTATTGCTTCACACAAAAAAGCAGTTTCTTCACAATCCTGTTCCCATTTGCCTACAATACTAGAGAAAGGTTAAACTAAAGTTGTGGCATAGTGGGAAAAACAGCGCACCTGACACTGACTCTGCACTAAAATCCGCTGAGAGTGCAGCTCGTACTGCTTACAGTGTCATGTGCAGACAGTTTAGTTAGGATGATACATACACTTAGAACAATACCTAAATGGCTTTTACAAGATGATGTTTTGTAGTAGATACGGTTTTACTGTTTGAAGGAAAACAACATTTTGGGAAATATTTGTTTTCTGGAGAAGAACTAGAGAAGATTGATTCTGTAACACTACTACGTATATGTCTGTTAAATATAAACCCACATGGCACTTTTTCAATGTCTGTTTATAGATAAAACAAAGGAGATAACATGGTAATTAATAAGAGTTTGGATGTGCTGGTACTACATATGGATAATTTTACAGCTGGACAGAACCATTAGCCTCTACCTGATAAGCTAACCAGCAGCTGGCTATGGCTTCATATTTAAAGTAGGGTCAGTCTTCAGTTCTAAAAACAAATAAGCATTTTCCCAAAATATCAAACTACTGCTTTAACATGATTGTTTTCTGTTTCTGTAGTGGATCAGATAGTAAAGTGTACTACTCATGGTCAAGCACAGCAGCCTGCTGTTGCCATTTTACTGTCCCCATGGTTGATTTTCAGTGCGATGATAAAGTGTTGTTTACTGGTACCCTCGACAAGGTTAATCCTATTGTTGAGTGGAATGAGGAAAATAGGATGGCAGCACTCACGAATGACCTTTAAATCAACACGAATCATGTTTGTTAGCTCATCACAAATGAGTGGTAGAATAAATCAGGAGAGTCACAGAGGCAGCCATCTATTTACTGTACGTATAAATAGGAAACAGGGATTTAGGATCAGTAGATTTGCATAACCTTGTGTTGTTGTTTGTTTTTCATAGTGAAAAATACTTCAAACTAAACTGTGAGGCAAAAATGTGAAAACCAAAGGTTGTACATTTAATTCAAACAGTATTTAAGGGCATGAGGGTATATTTATAGTATTCATCCAGATTATCACAGCATCAAGGCCTTTGTGCTTTTTAGCAGCACTGCTGAAAACTCTGTGTTTGTTAACTGTACATTGTTTTCTTCTGTGATCTGCAAAATATGAGAGGAGGGAAAAGACATACAGTACAAACAAATTGCTGAAAAAGGATTTATCGGTGTTGATTAACCTTTGTCACTGCAGCAGGGGAAATTGAGTCTGTTTTTGAGCACCTGACACAAGCATGTGTAAAATTTTGAGCACTAATAGGGCACTTGGAGGGAGAGTATATCAAACTTGAAGCAGTTAATTGTACTGCACTTTTTAAATAGGCCTGTTGAATTTTTTAAATCTTGTTGAGGCAGTATCGATATTAATTAGCAAAAAATGTGCACACTGCAAAAAAGGAATTTCAAGAAAATAAAAAGCCTTGTATCAAGGAAATAAGTCTTATTTTAAGTCCAGAAAGATAATTTATCTGGTCAAACAGGGTTTGCATTAGAAAAATAATCTCATTTTAAGTAAGTATGGCTAACTTTTAAGAATTCTTGTCAAGCAAAAAAATCTTACCCCATTGGCAGATTTTTTTGCTTGATACAAGATTATTTGTTTTAATCTAAGAATATTTTGCTTCTTTCTAGTAGGTCTGTTTTTGCAGTGCATTAAGTAGTACAAAATGGGCTCATACACCACCAGTGTAAATGCTTTGCTAAACTGAAACAATTTTGCAATTTGTATGTAAAATTATTGTTTTGCTTGTGTGTATATAGAGCATGTGATTGGGATGATATTTGTGTTTCCTCAGGAGCGGCAGCGTCAGTGGACTCACCTTAAAACTGATCAAAGCGTCAGTGATGGAAATTCTGGACACTCTGTCTGATGATGACTATGTCAACGTAGCCAGGGTTAGTAGCTGCTTCACTTACCATTATCACAGATTCTCAGTCATTTCATATCCCTTTGTCTTCTTTCTATAGTATATTTAATCCTGCCCGTGTCTTCTGCTGTGTTTCAGTTTAACGAGAAGGCTGAGGCTGTGGTGCCTTGCTTCAAACATCTGGTGCAGGCTAATGTACGCAACAAAAAGATCTTCAAAGAAGCAGTGCAGCAGATGCAGGCTAAAGGCACCACTGACTACAAGTCTGGATTTCATTTTGCTTTCAATCAGCTGTTAAATGTAAGGACATATTGATTTAGAACACAATTATATCAATACCAGCATCTGCACTTAATGTTTATCTGTGTATTCCCACCTCCTCTTTTTTAGAAGACAAATGTCCCCCGGGCTAACTGCAATAAAATAATCATGCTGTTTACTGATGGCGGAGAAGACAGAGCTCAGGATGTCTTCATGCAATATAACTGGCCCAACAAAACGGTTGGTTTCTTCTGATTATTTCACCTCTTACTTACATCCAGCAGGTTGCACTGTGGTGTCATAATCACCCTCTGAAAACTCGTGTTTAATTTTTCGAACTGTTTTCCCTAAGGTTCGAGTATTCACCTTTTCTGTGGGTCAACACAACTATGATGTCACACCCTTACAATGGATTGCATGTACCAATAAAGGTGGGCAGAATTTTTTATATGATTAATTAATTAATTCATTCATTCATTCATTTTCTACCGCTTAGTCCCTGAACGGGGTCACGGGGGGGGGGGGCTGGGGCCACACCGCAGGGCTAACACAGAGACAAACAACCACACACACGCACACGCACTCCTATGGGCAATTTAGAGACACCAATCAACCTAAGCTGCATGTCTTTGGACTGTGGGAGGGAAGCTGGAGTACCTGGAGAGAACCCACGCAAGCACGGGGAGAACATGCAAACTCCACACAGAAAGGTCCCAGGTGGGGCCTGAACCCGGAACCTTCTCGCTGTGAGGCAACGGCGCTAACCTGTGCCACCGTGCTGCCCATATTCATTTTATTTTATTTACTGTGTCAAACACACTATGCTATTTGGGTTATTATTCCTGAAATTGAGTCTTCAATCATCTGTTGAGGTCTTATAAAATGTTTGTATGTGATTTAAAAGATGCTTAATTGTTGCTGATTTTTCATAAGAGAGAACAAAAGGGTGAATCTAAAAACAAAATATCTTCTTCAAAATACAAATGGTAAGTCGATATGTTAGGAATCTGTTTAATTAGTCATTTATACTAGCAGACTTTTGGAGCTCTCAAATAATTTGGGAGCTGAGTTGAATTCTTAACACATAGGATCATTTATGCATGGCATTTATGCATGGCATTTCTTTTTAATTAATTGATGTCATTATTTTTGATACATTTAAGGCCAGAATGTAATTCTGAGAGGCTGTACACATACTGGCCTAGATCTTATCTTAACAAAACCCTCACACAGTTGTTTTCTGTGAAGCAGATCCTGATTCTACAAGAGCTTTTAGTTCGGCATCTCAACTGATCTAATGGTCTTGTCTGAGCTGTAGAGATACAGACCTCATTGGTTTTCTCGTTACATTTCCTATCTGTGGGAGTGACTGAATCACTTGCCTAGTAACATCCAGTAAAATCTGAAATATATATTTTTAGAATATATATTTTTGAGCACTACTCCTGTGTTGTTTTTTTTCCACATGGCATCACTCACACATGCTTTTCCCCTCTCTCTGTCTTTTTTCTCTGTGCTTGCCAGGTTACTATTTTGAGATCCGTTCCATCTGTGCTATAAGGATTAACACCCAGGTGGGTTTGTCTAGTGTCTCTGACACAGCTGATGCCCATTCGCTGTTTCTAGTTCCCCTTGTGGTGCACACTCACTCTGTAGAAACATCCGCTTCCGTTTGTTTGTGGTCCCATTCTCCCAGTGGCCTGATGTAGGTGGTTGTTTTGAAGCTGCAGCCGGTCTTGTATCCCTTTTGTTTTGTCAGGAGTACCTTGACGTGCTGGGACGCCCCATGGTTCTGGCAGGCAGCGATGCCAAGCAGGTTCAGTGGACCAATGTGTATCAGGATGCTTTGGTGAGAGTGCATGACCCCACAGAGTGGATTTTATCAGACATAATAAATACATTAAATATTCAGTATATAAACACAGAAAACATATCATTTATAATACTTGGGGTTTGTCTTTGGAATCTGTAGGGCCTTGGCCTGGTAGTAACTGGGACCTTGCCTGTATTTAATCTGACAATGGATGGAAACTTGCAGGTAACAAAACTGGTAATAACCGAATTGTTTTCATGCTTGCATATTGCAGGTGACAGTTACTGACTAGTTAAAATAGCATTTCATTGGCTGAATTTAACTCTGTTGTATACTATCACAGAATGATAAATGACTACATTTAAAGGAATATTTCAATATTTGCCAATAATTAGATGAAAAGATTGATACTACTCATGTCTGTACAGTAAATATTAGGCTACTACCAACAGCCAGTTAGCTTCACTTAGCATACAAACTGGAAACAAGGAGCCTCTAGCCTCCTCTAAAGCAAGCTTTTTTACATGCTATAGGGGAAATTATTGAAATCTGCCTAGCATCAGTGCATTTATGGATGATATCACAGTTACCTCAGAGTCAATGTCAAGTTGTCAGTGGGGCCTGAATGTGACTGAAAGCTCATGGGGTGGCCCCGGATGCAGTTCATGACAGCCAAATCAAGACCAATGGTGCTGCAGACAGGAAAGGTAGATGGTACTTCAGGTTTGGCACTTTCAACAGCATTTTGAATAATGAACCATTCATCCAGTCAACCTGTGTTGCATTGTATGGTTGGCTGAAAGCTGTGGACTGGTGTGAGCTGCCCGGGAGGTTTAAAACTACCATGTACCCCCCTGGCAAATGCCAGGGTATGTACCAGCATGGTATTCTTCCCAGGGTCATGTGGCCATTCCTAATTTATAAAGTGTCAATCTCAACTGTTGAGAGTAAGGTGAGCAGCTACATTCAGAGTTGGCTGGGATTCCCAAAGAGTCTGAGCGTTATCATGTTCTGTGGACGCCACAATAAGCTGTTACTCAAGTTCTTGGTGACAAGAGCTTAGACAAGTGTTGCAGTTCAGACAGTGAAGTAATCTTAAAGTGGCCAAAGCCAGGATAGAAGTTAGAACTGGCAGGAAGCAGAGGGCAGAGGAAGCAGTCTCACAGGCTGAGTCAAGCCTCGTGGGGGCAGTAATGCAAGGCAAAGTTGGATTTGAATTCTTCTTGACTTCCCACTGTAACACTATTGAAAGGAAGGAGAAGCACCATCTTGTCCAGGAGGAACTGAGAGCAGCAGCCGAAGAAGAGAAATAATCACAATGTACTTCAGGCTCCTACAACCTACGCAGGCGGAGAAAGGCAGAAGCAGGCTGCCCTTTGTGCTCCATGCATGGAACCATGGAGCACATTGTTTGTTGTTGCCAACAGGCCCTGGGTGATGGATAGGATCCATGAAGAACTTTCTGGATGCGAGCTGGGGTCTGGTCTGCCTCAGTTGGGTCACCTGGAGAAGGATGTATATTGCTAAAAAACTTGAAACAACTGATTCCAGACACATAACTGAATATGCATCCAGAAGCATCACTGGATATACAGTATTTGCACATTAGCTGAACTATTAGCTAAGCTAACCAGCTCCACTTAATATTTACTGTAAAAACATTAGTGATATCAACTTTCTTTTATATCTCTTGGCAGGAAAGTTAAAGTGTATTTCCCAAAATGTTAAATTATTTATTTAACATTGCTGCTGTCTCACCAGAATCAACTGATATTAGGTGTCATGGGAGTCGATGTGCATCTTGATGAGATAAAGCGACTGACACCACGGTACAATGTATGTATATCATGTTAGCATAAGTATAAGTTAGTTTTTTTTCATTAGTATCTGTAATGGACAACATGGACAGACATGTTATCGCAATTTCTCACTACAGCTTGGAGCCAATGGATACATATTTGCCATCGATCCAAATGGATATCTTCTACTTCATCCTAATCTCCAGCCAAAGGTGATCTATTAACTTGGCGAAAAGCATTACATTTGCACTGTGGGTATATGCTTTTAGAAGCTGGGAGGAGTAGGCATTACAGGTCAACTTAAACATTGGGTTTCGATTCATATTTGGTTAATAATCATTTTTATTACATGTGATATGAATGTCTTCTCACTCAATCCTCAGCTTGTGAACCTCCCTGAACCTGTGACGCTGGACTTTCTGGATGCAGAAGTGGAGGACAGCAATAAAGAGGAGGTGAGACAAGTGGAAATGAAAAGTCACTGGTCTCGGGCATTTTCTTCCTGTTGTTTTAAGCCAATGTTATTATTGGGCCAGTGGACAATATTATCTGCCTCAGGACAATCTGCCTACCAGTCTGCAGGTAACTGAAGGCTCACCCAGCCTTTGTTTGTTTGTTTGTGTTGTTTTGTGACATGTTTCTCTAGATCCGACGGCAAATGATTGATGGAAGACCTGGTGAAATGCAGGTCAAAACTCTTATCAAGTCGATTGATGAGGCAAGTAAATTCACTTGTTGAATATCATCACACATTTAATCTCATCAGCTGTCATGTGGATTTCACTAACACATTTTATAACGTGCCCAGCTACTGTATCTAATCCGGGGTATGACGGATATGTTAAAAAAACAATGTGACAACCAGTTTCTTATTGTTGTAGTATTGTCCTTAATGTCTCAGTTACAGTGCAGTACAGTTGGTTACATTATACATTACCAGACAGCTTCATTGTAGAGTTTGTACATACAACAAATAAAGCTGCTCAGCTGATAAAGTTCTATTTTGTAATGTCCTATTTAACCCTACTATCCCAACTACCTATCTGGAAAAATTAAAAGTTTTTACCTGAAATATTAAGACAAGGTAGCTTTATTTATTACGTTGTTACTAGGAAATGCTAAGAAAGAGCAACTACGAGCAGGTCATGATGTCAGTTCGTTCTGAGTTTCACTAGGCCCTCTAGTGGCTGAAAAGAAATTAGATAGAGCATCTTTAATGTTGACCCAGTTTTTACAGTTAGGTTGAGCAAAATTTGTACACAGTTTGTTGAGTTAGTCTGAAAACTCATCACCATATGTTTGCTTAATGGCTATTTTCATCCATGTTGGCTTAAAATTTTGTTTTTGTTTTCTGTCAATCATAATTGAAAACACAGAGTAGACCTTTCTTGGTGTATTTGTAAAACATAGTGTGAAAAAAAGTATCAGAAAGCATGACTAACTTTAGGGGGTTGGTTTTAGGTGTTAGACTCTGCATTTAAAGAATGGTAACTTGGCAACTTGTTTGTTTAATTTGGTCACACATTAGGCTTTACATTAATTCAGTTAATTAAGACCCTGCATTGCAAAAACAGTCACACCTCTACTAACTTCTATTGCACAATGTTAAACTGGGTAAACTGTAGCCTGTTTAATTTGGTTGCTATGACTGAAAAGTATGGAAATGTTTCTTCTATTGCAGCAATACATTGATGAGGTGTACAGGGGTTACACCTGGACTGCTGTCAATGGTACAGATTACAGGTGCGTGGTTACCATGTTATGTATTACAAATAAAAACCAACCAGCTGTGGCCTGGTGAGCACTGCACACGGGGTTGGCTTCACTGTAAAAACCTTCCTCCTTGTCTCCCCACTCATGTGCCTTCCTGTTGGGATGCCACTACCTGCAGTCTTGGTTTGGTACTACCCCCTTACAATGACTACTACATCCAGGCAGACCTAAGTGATGTGATGCTACAGCTTCAGTGTGAGTACCAGAGTGGCAGAACTTTCTGTTATATAAAAATGTAAAACATACAGTATATGAGATGAAAAAAATGAAATGACCTCATCTGTCTGTGTTACAGATATGCAGTCATTGCTGCCCAGCTCCTTTGAGTCATCAGGACATGTGTTTCTGGCTCCAAGGTGCCTGAAATCTAACCTTCTTTCTCATGATTTATCTGCTCATAAAGTTCTTATTGATTTGTGCTCTCTCTGCAGGGAATACTGCAAGCGCCTGCATCTTTCTGACAACAACACCCAGTTTTTGCAGAACTTCCTTTCACTCATGCTAGATATTTCTCCAGAGTCTGATGAGTGTGAGTTACATGTGCGTTAACAGTTTTTAGTAGTAGTTAATCGGCCAGGCTGCAGATACGCCAATGATATTATCTACCTGTCTTTACGTCTCAGGTGACCAAGGCCTCATCCACAACCTGATTTTGGATTCTAGGATTATTGGGCAGCTGGCCTCCCGTGTATGGAAGAACAAGGACTTGAACTCGTGAGTCTGCTTGTTGTTACTCTCCTGCAGCAAAAAAAAAAACTTGCCTTTCACAAAAATACACATTATGCACAACACAGAAGTTGCTAAGTAAAACTAATTCTTGCAGGTATGGCTTCCTGGCTGTATTTGCATCCACAGATGGAGGAATAACTCGGGTTTTCCCCAACATGTGAGTAAAATCACTCGAGCAGAGAAATATAGTAATCTCACAGATGTCGTATAAACCTTTGCTTCTCATAAAACTTGATGATTTGTGTTTTGTTTGTGCAGAGCTGCTGAATCATGGGAAGAAGACCCTGAACCCTTTAATTCAAATTACTACAGACGAAGCCTTGACAACAGGGGTTACATGTTTAGAGCTCCATCCAGAGCCTGTAAGTATCTGAGCAACTACACTTCATGTACCAGACTTGAGCAGCCAACAGAGACTCCAGGAAGCTATTGCACCCAGCAGAGAGACAGCCTGATACACTACTCCCTGTAAAACCACAACCTGTCATTTTTACATGTATGCAATTTACACATGTGAACTCCAGATAGTGTCCACAGAATTATGTCTGGACTTTGCCCAGAGTTTCCCTTTCACACATGTAGCTCACAACAGGAGATAGTCCGTATCAGATGCACTCTCACCTACTGGTAATATTCCATTTGGCTTATGAATCTCTTGGTATACCTTAAATTTGACGATGTCTAGATAATTCTAGGTTTCCACTGCATGTCTGAAAAGGGCTTTAGATATTTTTTATTTGTGAGCTGGGCTAGTAAAAGAAAGTGTGTTTATGTGTGTTCCTGACCTTAGGATGAGTATATGAGACAAAACCATCTAGACTCAGGGTCCACTTGATAGATATTTCAGTGATCAACCACATCTCATGATCATCATGTAACCTAAGTGTTGAACATGCTTTTCCATTTTTGAACCAATACAGTGGTTACACTCCTCAAGTTAACGCCATTCACTGATGATGGCCATGACATGTGGTTGAAAGCTCTGATAAAGCCATTTAATGGAAGTTATTTTGGCAAAATACTGATCTCACAGTCAGCAATTAACATCCATGCTAGTTTTGGTCAGACACTATTTCAAAATGATACATGTCTGTGTGAAATTAGACTTTGACCTCAAGATCACTTTTAATTCTTACATTTTGTTTGGGAACAGCCTTGGATGACCCTGTAAGTGAAAACGGCACAGTTGGCATTCTGGTTAGTTCAGCTGTAGAGGTTAATTTAGGAGGCAAACTGCTCAAACCTGCAGGTAAGAAAATTACTTTTATGTGGACAATGCAATGTGGGCTTTCCAGCATTGCTTTTCTGATATTTACGCTACTTCTGCTTTGTCCTCTTCTTATCAAAATGTGGCTTCTTGTCTCATTGTGACTCTCTTCGATCTGCTCCTGCGCAACTCATCACTCAGTGGTGGGAGTAAAGCTGGACTTGGAAGCATGGGTCGACAAGTTTAAGATCCTGGCCAGCAACGTGTCAGATGGTCGACAGGGCTCTCACAAGGTATGGCACACTGTCACTATTTACTGATAATTGTGAATCACTCTAATAAAACTTTACCTAAATAAAAGTGCAATTATTTTCTCATTACATGTTGCGTTAAACAGTGTGGGCCATCCAGAAGTTGTGAGATGGACTGTGAAGTAAACACAGATGTAAGGACTGCTTTGTATTTTACTCTCATTTTAACACAACCACTATTGTAACACACCTGCCGCTACAGCCAGACATTGTCATCAGTTTAGCTGTTGGCTGTTTCTGTTTCATGTCTACTTCAGTCAGTCAGTCCTGTCATCCTTTATTCTGACATATTCAGGTGATGTTTAGTGATGGAGTAAATAAATAGTTACAACTTTTGCTGTGTATGCATCTGCCTTGATGTAAACTGTGATGCATTGTCTGCAGGACCTCCTCTGTTATCTCATTGATGACGGTGGGTTCCTGGTCATGTCCAATCAGAGAGATCACTGGAAAAAGGTACATCTGTTTGTGTTGATGTCTTTACTCTTATACATCATCTAGTGTTTACTTTTAGAACAAAGTACTCAGTAAGCCTCATTCACTATGTTTTAAATGTTCTGCAAAGCTAAATGTGTAAGATAGTGCACTTGTCCAGCCGTAATTAGAAGTTCCACTGATCCTTTTGAAAATTTAAAGTATGCAAACAGATGTTACACTTAATCAGTTTATGAGCTGGTTCCTGGGTGTAGATCAATTTAAAGCACTTTAATTATTTGTGTTTTTGCATGTTTTCTATGATGTTTTATATTGTGCTGGTTCACAGGATGATTCAGATAAATTCATATTAACTCCTGGCAGTTTAACTGAGTCATCACTGTAGATCCAAATGAAACCAAACAAAGTAAAGGTTCTGGTGGTTGGAAGTAAATTGAACCCAGGTTCCTGGATGCACTTTTTTTTGTTTGATTCCCTAACAGGTTGGCCTTTTCTTTGGTGATGTGGACCCTTACTTAATGTATGCGCTCTTCAACAACTCTATCTTCACCCGGCGTCAGACTTTTCAGTACCAGTCTGCGTGTGAACCGTTCAGCAGCAGCCACACTGGTGCAGCACCGAGAGGCATCTTTGTGGTAGGAGACAGCATCAGCAGTGAAGATTTTAGATTCAGGGACATTTTATGTTGTGCTCTAATCTGTTACTACTATGTGTTTTTTACAGCCATCTCTTGCTGACATGCTCAGCTTGGCCTGGTGGACATCCACCGTAGCATGGTGAGACTGCTGTGAGGCAGCTGCCTCTCTGTATCAGCTGTTTTCAGCTCAGAACTACTGTAGCAGTGACACATGTTTACTGTTATTACTAATGTTTCCAAAATGTACTTCATTCTCTAACAAGGTTTAATGTGACCACTTTTCCAGGTCTGTGATCCAGCAGCTACTATATGGACTGGCCTATAACAGCTGGATTTACCAAGGTTGGTTTGTGCATCATTAGTGTTTGTGGAAATATCTGTTTGAATTGATAAAAAATAATACAAACTTCATGAAGCACAGAATGAAATTTGTTTTAACATTTTTATTTCAAATTTACTTTGCATCTTGTTTGCATTTGGCCTTATTCTCCCCTTCAACCTTCTGTTACCAGACATGTTCTGAGTTGTCCTCATTAATCAGTGTGTTCTTGCATGTTTCAAATTGTTTTTGTACATAAAATGTGGGTGAAAATCAATTTAAACCAAATGACTACAACTACTTCTACAGCTAAAATTACAAGCTTTCAGAATGTGTTACAAATGCCATACAAACTGCTGAGTTCGAATGTGTGTTTGACCATTAGATGATATCCTAGTTGAAGGTTTTGAGACAAAGCAAAGCAGCTGTGTGACCATCCAAAGCCAGTTCTACTTCACAAACACCACCAACTCCTACAACATGCTGCAGGACTGTGGAAACTGCTCACGGTGTGTTTTCTGGAGAATCAGCACAATGTGTTTGCAGAACTGTGCTGTACATAGGAAGTCTGCTAAATATCCATGACTGTCTTTTGTAGGCTGTTCCATGCGAAGCGGATAGAAAACACTAACCTGCTTTTTGTTGTCGCTGAGACACTGCCCTGCAGCTCCTGTGAGATAGAGAGACTGGCCCAGGTCAGGACAGAGTGTATCCTTTCTGTGCTCTGTGGTGCGTTCATTTATGCTGAAGGTGGAAACCTCATCCATCATGTGTGGCAAGTTAAGTTCACTGCTACTGTGGCTTCCTTTAACTAAAAACAAACAGTCCAGGAGGAGAATCCATGTGAAGTACTGAGCAATGCACGATATCGTAAAGGCCCGACATCCTGCTTTGACTACAGTGCCTTAGTAAGTAAACATAATAGTATAAGGCATTATGTTTGTGCTTCAGTCCTGAGCACAATTTAATCATTTTATGATGAGAGATTTTATGTCGTTTCTGTGCTCTAAATGTTTGATAGCATGCTGGGAATGGAGGTGCAAATACAGCCGCGGGCCAGTTGGACTAGAAAAAAAGGATTTATTGTTAACTCTCGTTGCAGGAAAACACGTCAGAGTGTGGACGGGGTCATTCTCTGCAGTCCTCCATACAAGTCCTTCTCTTTATTCAGTTTACTCTGTGTCTCTTTCATCTCTGACACATACCAACACTAACACCTTTCATCTCTTTAGGTTTAGGCTCAGATCTACTGAAGGTCAGATCAAACAGCAATGGCAAAATTCTTCTTTTTAAGAACTACAAACAGCAAACTGTGCTCTGGGGAAAAAAAAGTACCTGGATCAGCTTTTAGTGTTTCTTGCTTTATTGCTTGTGCATCTGTTAGTGTTTCAGGGCTTGAGTTCCAAATATAGAAAGAGAATGTGTTGAGTGTGCATGGCACCTAAATTAGCACGAGCATGTCTGAAAGTGATGCACATGGGCTCAGCCATGTAAACAATCACCAAAAAAGTAAGGGAAGCAGCAGAAGAGTTCATTTAGCAGAACAACACATAAGAAACTAGCTGGAACAGATGAGAATTTTAGGTTTAATTGTGGTGGTGAAAATATATATATAAAAAAGATCTGTTTACTCTGTGGTCAACACTCAGTAAAGGAAGAAATATGTAGATCTTTTACTTAAGTAAAGCTGCATAACTTAACTGGAGAAATACAAGTAAATGTTCTACCTTCAAGCTTTATTTTAGATTGTACATTTAACTATATTAAATGGAAATACTCTTGTCAAAGGTTCGGGGGGTCTGGGCCAGCACTTGTGTATGAAGTGACATTTAATATTTCTCCTTTGAAAATTGTGGAAATTTGTTCCAAGATAACAAATACTGTTGATGCAAAATTACAACCCAGAGTTACAAAATGACCACAGAGGGACGCAAAACAATCCCAAAGAGATTCTACACAATGATGAAGAAACAAAAAATGACCATAAAGAGGCAAAATGACCACAAAGAGAGACAGAACTATCAAAATTAGATGCAAAGCTACCAAAAAGAGACACACAATGATGCAAAACTAACAAAGAGAAGCAGAACAAGTATGAAGACACTAAAGACTAATGATCTTATTTAGAAGGGGTGGGGGCCCATTTTGTTATAACCCATCCATGCTTGAGTAAGTGTCCTTAGTTACTTTCACAACTGAAAAACAAACACTGCACAGGCTCGCTTTTATTCAGAGAAGCTCTGTGATCGGCCACACACAGTTGGGTGACACTGTACAACACAGAAGAAACAGTATTCTGAATTTTTTGATTTTTCATTGTCACTTTTGAATACCTAGTTGAACAGATCTGTACATGCTTAAGTTTATATGAATCTTTTAGAATCTTCTGTCTCTGGGACATCTCACCTTAACACAACTGACAATTTTACATTGTCCACACGACACACTAAACTAACTGCTACAGCCTGAAAACATAAATGGACAGAATCTGCTGCTGGTGGAGCTTTATGTTTCAGACTCTGTGTAATTTGCTCAGATGCTGCTTGTAACAACTTTTGGTTTTCTTGGCCTAAAATGAATTGTCTAATGTTTTTATTTGCATGTCCAGTCCTGGAAATTGTCTCTGCACATAGAGGAGCTCCTGTACTTACAGCTATTTTTACATGATAGTAGATCTGAGCCTTAACCTCACATTTACTTCAGTGTCGTTCAATCCACCTCTGACCTTTGCCAAGACAGTTTAAGTACTGCGAAATTTGACCACACTGTACATGACATGGCCCACAATGGTTTTCTGCTGCCGTCTCAAGTATGATCGGTCTCTTCAATCTTTAAATCCAACCAGATTTCTGACAATATTTAGATGATTTAGGAAAGTGTTTTTCTTTTCCAGTAATTTCATAACTAGACTTTTCATTACACATGTCTGTGATGAAACATCTGTGTAGTTTCATTATGATACAAGGACTGTATGTACAGTAAGTCAAGTTTGATTTGTTGAAATGCTTCCACAGATACTCAGTATGATCTTGAAGTGCTTCCTGTCAAGTAAGAAGTTGTTAAGGGATGTAAAATCAAACAGAAGACCAAATTCATCAAATATTAACTGATTTTGCAAAGTAGTATTGCATCTACAATTCAATATAATATTTAGGAACATGCAACGCTGCACATTGTTTGGTGCAATAATGTTATTCTGATTTGACAGTTTAGCAGTAATATTTGGTTACATGCAGTGATATTGGTGCAGTCATATAGCACAAAACGTGCAGATGTCAGTGTGTGGTCGACATGTTTTTAAATAATATTGCATCCCTTTTTTAATTGATGGGAAGCTCTTTGTCCCTTTTTGTATTATGTATTGCCACTATTTGTCAAACCAGAATTTGTGCACTTATGTATGCTTCTATATGAGGAATGTAGCTTCTGAATAGCTTTTGTCGTTATCAGCGTGTTATCAGTGTGTGCTGCTTTTTGGCCCTCTGTTGAGATCCCCCTGATGTCTCACTGAAAGCGATGATTCACTGTGGCAGAATATTTCATTTTATCATGCATACCTCATAATGGCAGCAATATCTAAATCAAACTTATTTAATTATGAAGCTGTGAGACTAAGCGGTTTAGTCACAATGAAATGTCTGTCCAGTATTGTATGGGATAATCTCTGGAGTTAGAAGCGACGCTTGCTGATTCATTTTCTGTCAATCGACTTCTCATTTCAGCTCCAACAGACATGTTTATAGAGATTTAAAGATTATTTTCAAATTCAAAGAGTGAGCAGGATGTTCAGTAAGCTGACAGGTTCTTTTTAACTGTCTCTACATTAATTTCACAAATTAAACTACTGTACGGCTAATGATATTTTAAAAAACACTGTGTTAATTATTGTGCTATATTAAAGCTCCCCTATAATCCTATTTGAAGATGTATAAAAATACAGTGCCTGAATTAATCATTTATGCTTCATATGAATTTTTTCCACCAAAAACAAGTAAAAATTTCTTGCAATTAACTCTACTCCTCCCAAATAAAAAAAATCTAGAATCTATAAATATGCAAGTATTTCTTGTTTAACTGCTGCACACAAGATGTCTCCTACTTCACTGTGAAGTCCATTCTCAGTTTTTATAAGCACTGGAGATTTTGAGTTTCCACATCACGCTTATACTTGCTAAATATTCCAAAACCTAATTGTCAGATATCTAAAGATGAGCACAAAGAAAAATTTATTCTACTGAAGAAAGTCATCACTTTCTTCAAGCAAGAAGCTTGAGGACTTATGCATGCTGAAATCCTGAAAACATTTTGCCACAGTGATTTATCAACCCCAGATGTCTTTTTGTGTTACAGAGTTAAATGGGGAATATTTTTAAAAAACATTTTTGACAAAATATTTGTAAAATGCTTGTGCTACATGTTTTTCTCCGTCTGCCTGGTGTTCCACCCTGTAGTGCCTTGTTGCACTCGGTTTGGATGGCAGGTACATTTGGATTTTAGCTGTGCTCGTTCACCCTGCAGGCCATGGGAAGGACACACTTGATTTCAAGGGTTGCATTGTTTCAACTCTAAAAGGACTTCTTGGTCTGAGAATATTAACAGCTGCTCCTCATGAACTTATGAAACCTTTTTCAAGGAGCACAGAGGTGAAAGAGCACAAGTGTGTCATGGAGCTGGACAGATGTTTGTCAAAGCATCAAGAGCAAACCCTGCTGCCGTTCTATGTCGTTTATCTCTACACTGTGGTTCAGCTTTGAATCAAAGCACAGACACTGTCCATTTTTCAGTGATTTCTACTTTGTCTCCTCTGCACACTGTACATTCTATATTTGAAGCTTGTTGGAAGCATACTTTTCCATTCGGACTGACTGAAACGAGTGAATGTTTATGTAGAGTATACCTACCTTTGTGCATCTTTGCCGTAACCGAGCATGGTAGGGACCTAGAGAAGCAGATGAAAGCTCAACACTGTTCGGAGACCTCAGAAAAACACTGCTTACAAAACACACAACAAAAGCTAGTACTCTGAGACCTGCAGTATTTACTCTAGGTCATGTTGCATTATTCAAACAACACTGTTATACATTGGAGGAAAGGACTTTGTGGAACTCTTTATAGCCTACAATATATTACTAGTGTTGAGGTCAGTGTTGTAGTTTCATTTTAAATGACCGGTATTTATTTGCATGATATTTTGAAGAATTTACAGATCTGTGTACATAGTCTGATGCGTATTTTACATTACTGTCCACACCTACTCCCCAGTGCTGAGGGGAGAAGTGAGGGACACCCTCTGTAGATATTTTTGCTGACGTGGAGGCCTCAGAGCGCTTTGCTGTGCGGAAACAAATGAAACTGAAAGTTTGACTTCAGTGAAGCCTACAGTTCCATGTTTGCCACTTGGATCTATTGCAGCCAGTAAAAGCACAGAGAAGTTTAGAGTTATGAGCAACATACTGCCTGATCAGTCCTTTGAATTTTGGACAAATGTCCTCAAGTGACACAAAAATGCTGATGCAATTAAAGGCTGTATAACAAATAGCGGTGTGTGGGAAATTCCCCTTTTTATTTAACTTTATGAAATAGATGTGTTTATTTTATTTATGTAATTTTATTTGTTTCATTTTGGGGGGTATTGTGAATAATATTCGTATTGAATGAAAAGAAATTGAATGTTTGAAGCTTGTTTGGGCACAATAAGCAGTTTTCAAAAAGATTTGCTAAAAACTAAGAATGTTAATGTTTTTTGCTGTAACTTCACTTTCATTTTGCTGACATTGCCTTTTCCTCGGGACAGTTTCTTCTCTTTGTGCCAGTCTCCAGCACCACCTCATTTTTGTACAGACGATGTGAAGCAGTCAGCAGAAGGTGAAGGCTAACTTTGTAAAGATTTTGTCAGTCATATTACAAAATGGATATTTAAATGTTTATATATTTGGTGATTAAATGCTATTGATATTTTTCACTTCAGTTTTGAGTCATTATTGTCCTTAATGAAATCTATTATTTTTCTAGATGAATCAATAACTGAAGAGCGTGGCCCTGTACGGATGGGGGTCAATACAGGGTCACAAAGATGTTTTGCTTGTAAAAGCACTGGGCATATGCAGAAAAGATTTGTACTTGTAAAAACATCCTTGAACATGTAGACAAACTGTAAACAAATGATGTTACACAAAGACACTGAAAATGATTAAGCATAATTCTGAACATCTGTGTACAGATAGAAAGCAGCAAATTGCATGCATCATTCAAGTTATGAGTACAAATTATGAACAGTTCCAGTTCTGAGAGTGTTTTTATACCTGAATCTGACTGGACAATGAAAATCCAACTACAGAGCAGAGTCAGACTGTCCAGTGAGAGGGCAGCTGGGTCCTTCATGTTGCAACTCCTGAAAGTTTTGTTGTTGCAAAATTTCACGGTGGATGACGACACAAGGTTCAATACTATTATAGTATTCAAAGGAAAGTAGGAGAAATGAGAGGTCTTCTCAGGAGCAAGGTTTTTTTTATCAGTATAGAAGTACCTAAACACTTGGTGTTGGTTTACAGGTGAGAACAGTTCAGATTTAAAGCCTTTTATGGAAACCCAAAGTGTGTTAAATAATAATAAATAAAAACATTTAAATTAATCATATGAATAAGTTGTATAACATATATACTTGCACAGACAATTTGTGAAATCATTCAGGAAATATTAAAACTTATGTCATTATTTTGAAATGGTATTTCATCATTCTTACTTAATAGAGTTTTTAGGGGTTATTTTTATTGTAATTATGGACATTATTATTTCAAAGTGCTATTTTTTCAAAAGTCTGTTATTACTTCATAATGCCTTTTTCATCCTGTTACTATCGTAGCCTACATGGTGGGACCTTATGTTCATGCTGCTGTCTATGACTCTGCAATAGACATGCTCTTGAACAGATGGTCTGGTAGGAATTTGCATAAAAGTGTATTTTAATGCCCCTCCTCGAACCGCCCCCTTATTGTGGTGGAGGGGTTTGAGTACCCGAGTGATCCTAGGAGCTATGTTGTCGGGGGCTATATGTCCCTGGTAGGGTCTCCCAAGGCAAACAGGTCCTGGGTGACGGGTCAGACTAAGAGCGGTTCAAAAGCCCTTTATGAATAGATTAAAATCAAGGACCGTGACATCGCCCAGCATGGCGCAGCCGGGGCCCCACCCTGGAGCCAGGCCCGGGGTTGGGGCTAGAATGCGAGCGCCTGGTGGCCGGGCCTCCCCTCACGGGGCCCGGCCGGGCTTAGCCCAAACGAGCGACATGGGGACATCCTCCTGTGGGCCCACCACCTGCAGGAGGATTTGTAAGGGGATGGTGCACAGTGGCTCGGGCAGCAGTCAAAGGCAAGGGCTTCAACAACCCGATCTCTGGACACAGAGACTAGCCCTGGGGACATGGAATGTCACCTCGCTGGTGGGAAAGGGGCCCGACCTTGTGCAGGAGGTTGAGCGGTATCAGCTAGAGATAGTCGGGCTCACCTCCACACACAGCTTGGGCTCTGGAACCTTACTCCTCGAGAGAGGCTGGACTCTCTACTACTCTGGAGTTGCCTGCGGCGAGAGGCGGCGGGCTGGTGTGGGCTTGCTTATAGCCCCCCAGCTTAG